CTAGACATCGTCGAATTAATTCAGCATGCCTTTCGAGGCCCACCTGCGCGGTGAAATCGTCCGTCGGGGCGGCAAAAGAAGGACGATTTCAGTAACTTTGCTGAGCTCATGAATTCTAATTTGGGCACTGGCGAAGCAGTTCGTTGACAAGGAGTGGGGCTTCTCAACCGATAGGACTATGCTACGGGAGATGCGCAAAGATGCTGCGCGCCGTCATAAACACGACACGGGGCATCGACCCCGACAGGCAGGTTTGCGACGTCAAGAAGCAAACACCAAGCCGGACGATTTCGATTTGACGACAAGTTGTCGCCATTCGTTCTAGCACTTCGAGGCGTACGAGGACGTCAGGGACAACAGGATATCCGACTTCGGCGACTTGCCCGGCATCGATTTTGACCAAGACGGCCACGGCGGACCACGATTCCCATCAGACATCGAAGTACGCCCACCTGACGATCCGCCAGAGCCTCCTTTACAGGCGTTTCCTCCAGCAGCGCCTGCAGCACGGCCTCCACCAGGACTCCCTCCTCTGGACGAACTACGCCCGAGACCTACAGAACCTCCTGGACCCCCGGCCCCAGCAGCTCCACCATCACCACTTGTTATTTCGGACGCGGCTACTCTCGTCGACATCTCTTCGATTGAAGAAGGACATGATCTAGGTGGAGGACCACCGCCAGCTCCTCTGGCACCGCATGGACGACAGCCGATCGCGGCGACACCACCTCGACTATCAACATAGCGGAGTTCGCAGGTTCCGCGGACACAGCGACGAGTATCTTGTGACGACGCCAACAGCGACACCTCGCAGAGCATCAGCGTCGACGATAACAGCGCGACCTCGGATACCGCCGAAACGACGACACCAGCGGGGCCGCCTCAACCACCAGCCGGGCCACCGACAGGCATACCAGTGGCAGCACCGACTCAAGCTTAATTACCACGACGGTGGTCACCAGCCCAAGTCGCGAGAACCGAGAATTCGGAGGAGAGCGTTTCGACCCGAATCTGAACCACCGATCAGGGACAGACCACACACAACCAGCGCACCATTAAGATTCCCGACGCTCTCAACTCCAAGACCGGTTTCACACAAAGCAGCACCATCACAACCAGTCTTATTTCCACGGCCACATTCAATTCCAAGCAAAAGCGTCCTTAAACCGACAACACCATGACCAGAACAATAACCATCGATTTTACCGACGATCGACCTAATTGTACATCCGCATCATGCGACGAACCAGCAGCGCCGACCTCGCCAGCACCATTGCCACTTCCACCTCCGAATACTCCGTGTAAAGGTATTATCAAATCTTCATCGACGGCAGCCTTACCATCGCCGCATCGCGGCATCCCCCTGGTCATCTTTCACCAGCGAAGCTCTTCAATCTCAAAAAGAGGAGCCCTCGCCAGCGAGAACGATGAAAAATGCAGGATATGAACGAGCAGATAGACAATCTAGCAGAGGCAAGTAGGCACGACGATCCATTATCACCTGAATATCCTGGACCACGATGGCACTCTTTTACCGGCCACCAAGACGAGCAAAAGTGCGAGTTGATTAGTGGGGGAAAACAACAAGAAGCGTTTTGATATTGAGAAATGCGCTTCGTAATCGTCGAACATCAAGAGAGGTGACCACACAAATGCAGCCAAGGGCCAAGCTACATCACCTCCGGTGTTCACGGACACCAAGCGTCCGAAGCCACTGGAAGACGACCACGCCTTCCTAAACCAGCAATCGACCTTCACAGTTTTCAGTCCCACTATTTATTCTCACCGATCCCGGAGGACGACGACATCGATGCATCAGAAGTTGATGGCGAACATGGCAGGCGAGATCTCCGCGAGACTTCATAAGATGGACCAGCATTAGTGAGTTTGGGACCATACGGCGGCTCACCGGGTCATCCTGTGTCCTTGCAGGAAGTGCAGATGCCTTTACTCCGACCTGACCACGGGCGCGCCCATCTACGCTCAGAGCGACGACGTCTTGGCGGAAGTAGAAATTTACGAACATTGAGGCCGACTACACAGGGTTGATTGATGTTTTGGGGACGAACACGGCTACGATCTTGACAGCGGCAACGTAGTAGATGCAGCATGGGCTCGAGGACGGAGGAAGATGCACGACGATCAGAACAAAACGTATCAGATCAAGTCAAGATTCCATGGACGCGGCATTTGGGATACCCCAGAAACATGATGCGATGCGCCACACTTCGGCAGCCTCAAGACGATTCCAGAGAATGGTAGCACCTCCCTACATCATCGAGACAGACACGGAGATATAGACCTAAGACATGTCGACAGCATTCGTTGATGGCTTGAGCTACATGGATTCGGAGAAGTACGTGGACCAGCTCGGCCTCGAGATCCGACAACGGAAAGGGTACGCATCAAACCACCATTGAATGTCTGGCGTCATTGTTCTAACCGACGGTTGACATCAGCGACAACAAAAGCCAATTATTATATTTCCTGTTGCTAAAACCGTATACGGGGCTGTAGACGCGCCTTTCTCATGGCAGTTGATTCTGACGATGTTCGTCAAGAAGGATCTCAAGGGCGCGTAAAGCGCGTTCGACGATGACTTCTCCACGTGGCTCGGGGAGATCAAAATCAAGATGGCATGGACCGGACACGTAGACGACATCCGCATTCTAGCGTCGAGAATGTGGTTGCGATGAGTACAGAAAAAGACAGAAACGCCCCAGAAAAGTGAAAGGGCATTGACCTCCCTTCACTCGCATGGGCATGGCTTATGAACTACTCCATGGTTTGCACCTCCTCACTCATCAAGATAAGTTCGTGGACGGGCTGACTAAAGTAAACATAACCAAAGACTGGCAGGCCAAAACCAATGACACACTCACACCAGGAGATGTTCACCAGATCCGTAGCGGCATATGCTCACGATTGTGGTTATGTCAAACCCGAGAAGGTATTTGTTGTGACACAGTTCATCTTCAGTATGTAAGCGATGCGAGGGTGGAACACCCTACATCGGCCCAATGAAAGTTCCTTGAATGTTCGTCATGTCGCTCGCTAGCGGAAGCCGGCGGAAGTAAAACGAGGCGGAAGGCTTGCGGAAGACAGCGGAAGAAAATGACGCTTTGCCCGAACCCCCATTACCCCCGTAGAAGCCTAGCAGTGTAGTCTTCTGCCGTTGGCCGGGCGGGATCCCGCCTAGTTTATTCCCTTGTAATATTATAGTTCTAGTTCAGCCAGACTAAAATCACACCCATTAAAAATAAGGTAAACAATCATCCCGGATCGTCCACGGATCCCGCCATGTTGGGATCGTTTCAAAGTAAGATGGGGTTCCGAAGTTGCAGCGTTCTTGGCATGTCAGGGTCGTTTTGAGATCATCTTGAGATACTATCTCGGTCATGCTTGGATCGCGCAGCCGTCGTGTTCATTCTGGGGACACCCTGGGCGCGCGTGGATCCATCTTGTTGCCATCGGGCCATCTCGGTGTCACTCGTGGCTCGTGTGTTCGGTCATCTTCGAGTCAGCCTGGGACGGTCCAGAATCCATGGCGGTGTCGTGTTGGGGTGGCGTCATCCCAGGGTCGTCTGGACGCTACCGTCTGTGACCTCAGGCCCTCTTGGAAACCTTTTGCGGCAGTGGGGGCGTCTTGGGATTTCGCGCGCACGAGCGCAGAGCACGCGCGCGCGACAATTTACGTCGCCGATGGGCGTGCACACATATATTTCTTGTTGCGAGTTCCCAAAGAAACTGTTGTTGTAGCCAAATAGTCAGATGAATACAGTAGTTGGCAGAGCCATCAAATCGACACGTCGCTGGTTTCCTCTCTCGCGAACCCGAGCCTTCCTTCAGAGTTGAGTCGCTGGCAGACGCAGCAGACCCTCGAGAGGGTGGCGCAGCTGTGCTCGTGGAGGACAGACTGCACCTGATGAGATAGGACAAGAAAGCCAAAGCAGGCACTCAGAGCGAGAAGCACTGCGGCGGAGCTTGTCTTGCAGGCCTAGAAGTTGACACCAACACCAATATCGGCGGTGTGCCTCCACCAAGGGAGGACGATCCCGATCTCGGCGATGGTGGTAATATTCGGGTTTCCAAGGTGACCGAGATATTAGATTACCACCAACGCCGAAATCTTGGATCATCTTCCCCATGTGGAGGCAACTCCCTGTGCTGGTGTTGGTGCCAATTTCCAGGCTTGTCGCAAAACCAAACGCATTCCACATTGCACATGTCATGCGGAGACGCGCGCGCAGCTCATCTGGATAGGTTCACAGATTGGTCAAGCACGACCGCGCATAAACACCAGCCTCATGTATTGGAGTATTTCGACACCAGACAGATGGAGTTGATGACCGATCATATCACGGACTGTTTGCAATTTTGTTGTGGGGTCAGGGGGGGGGCTCTTTGCGACTGTAGATGTTATCATTCAGGGACAAAAAATGTTGACGAATCGCATTTGCTAGTTGATTCATTGCACCACTCACTACATGATATGCGATGATCTAGCGAAAGCTGGAGTTTTCCCCGGATCATGATGCTGGTCAGCACACTGAAACGGCGCATCCAGACAGGACTAATACAGCTCGACTAATACAGCAAGGGAAGGACGCCTATGACGAGAGCGACCTCCTTCTCTTGGAGGCTTGACCCGGCGGTCCCACGGCCGGCAGTCCGCGCGTGCATGTGTACGTACTGCGTGCGAGAGCGTGCAGAGGGTATTGCATGGTGCACCGCTGTTTGTACGATGTGTAATGAGACCGGAGAGATAAGAATTTGACTAGGTTTTAGAAACATTTTGAAACTCAAACGGTAGCTCGAATTCGGAAACACAACCCGGAACGAAGATTCTAGTCTAGAGCTTTGGGGAAGAGACGGCAGGATGGTTATTCGACCGTGTTGTAAATTCTGAGTCAAGATAGATGAAATTTCTGCCTCCCGACCCTGGCAGTCTGCCGCCCCCCCCTCCTACCCCGCAGAGCGCGCATGCCTTCGCCCTGGAGGCCAGCCGGGCGGTGGGCCCCTGGTCGGGGGCACGGAGGAGTTTGCCAGGCTGGAGCGCGAGGCGCGTCGCTTCCCGCCTGCCAGCCTGTTTGCCTCGTCCCGCTGGTCCTGGCCTCGCATTTGCGTGCTCGTCGTCGTCCGCTTGTTCCGCACTCTTTCTCCTCCAGTTCGGCAAGGAAGCACAGGCTGCCGGGAATTGGCGCAGTGCGGTCGCTCTGGCGCGCACGGCATTGGGCGCGGCCGCACGTTCTTCAGATTGGAACCTTCTCGGTGGACCTAAACGGTGTGTTGGGCGATGTCGTGGGCCGTTGTCGTTTCGATCCCGTGTTGCAGCAAAGGCGGACTGATGACAAAACGGGGGACAAAGGTAACGAAACGAGAGCGAAAAAAACACCGTTTAGGTGCCGTCTTGCCCATCGTTCCTCAGATTTGGGGGGGCCGGGGGTTGTTTGTATGGTGTGGTGCCCGTTTGGGCGGTTCCTGGAGGCCCTCGGTGCCACGGTTGGGCGAAGTTGGAGAGGTTGCGCCAGGAGGGGCCGTTGGAGGGGTCCGAAGATCAGTTTGAAACAAATTATCAGGAGGGACAGAAACACACGAACACAATGAATCGTCGGTTCCCAGGAAAATATGGAAAAGTATAGGAAGTGGGGGGAAGACGAGAACCCAGAAAATATCAGAAAATATGGGAGATACGGGGTTTCGTGTGTGTGTGTGTGTGCGTGCGTGCGTGCGTGCGTGCGTGCGTGCGTGCGTGCGTGCGTGCGTGCGT